TAGAGTTGATTATTGATTTTGAAGTCAGGTAATTACAATATTAAATTTGTTAATTTTCAATTAATAAATGCCTATATTTATTTAATTAGAATTATATAATAATTTAAATATTATACGTCAAAGATTTAACTGTTAGTGCTAAATATATATTTAGTTAAATATTTATATTATATTTTTAACACAAAATTTTATTGCAAGCAAACATAGTTAAAATATAATTTATATGTATTAATCTACTCTAATCTATTAATAAAAATAGTATTCATTTAATAAAAATTTAGATAGTCATATTAATTTTTAAATAATAAAAAATATATATATAAATTTTGAAAAGAATTAAGCATATTATAAATGAAAAAAGAAAAATTGAGTAAAATCATAGATTTTTTTACTGTGATTAAATAAAATTATTAAAAAACGGAAGATTAAAATATATATAAAAATGTACAAGAAAGTTAGGTTTAATCAAATTAAACTGGGATAGCTACTACATACGCTAGATTCAAAATAGTTCAATTTTTTTTTTTAAAGTTATGTATATTTTTAAAATTTTATAAATGGATTAAATTATTATGTACATAAATGGGTAATATTTTACATAAGTAAATGGATTAAAATACAAAACAAGCGATAATAATACCTACCATCAAATTAATCCGTATGGCGAGTAAACCGGTTTTCAAGAAACCAATATTTATTTTTCCTACAGCCATACATCTAGTGGCCTATGATACTACAACCAATCAACTATTGAGTGCGCGAACTGCACGATCATTACTACCAAAGACGCTATGATCGACTGGAAGTTAAGATAAAGTTCGAAAACAACAATGTGATAGTTATCGTTAAGAATAATTATTAGAGCAATTTGGAGAAGAATATATTTGAAAGTTTATTTGTATTTTTGTAGACATTTATTAGAATTGTATATATATATTTATGCACAAAAATATTATATTACAGCAGCCATATTTCTAAAGAAAGGAGGCGTGTTGTATCATCTGTCAGTTGCAAATGACATAATATGGACCTTGATATACAATATATTCGATGAAACGAAATTTTTAGAAGCTGCTATTATATGACAGTAGTAAATATTTGAAATCATTTTAAGGGGAAATCGTCTGCTTTTTTTAGGAAACGATAAAATATTTGACAAGAAACTTTATACAAAAAAAAACTAACAACAATCATCAGCAGGTTTCTATTTTATTCCTTATTATTTATTTCCGCTTTTAGAATTTTTATTTATCACAAAGTAACCAAAAATATATACGATCAACTAACATTAAAATAAAAGTAGATTATATATAATAACCAATGAAAATTTTTAGATAAATGGGTTGACAAATGAATAAATTTATAAAAAAAAAACAATTTTTTGATAAATAACGGTCTATTGCAGCCTTCTTGATGTGACTGCCATTTACTAAATGCGCTATAAAAATATATTAAAATCCATTTTTTAAATATCGTGTAATAAATGTTGATTCTGGATATTCTAATCGCTAAAAAATATGATTATCAATATAAAGTTTCAAAAACAAATTATTTGAATATCAATTGAAAAACATGATTTATAAGATAGGATTTCATAGATTTCATGTTAAAAAGAGAGTTTTATTTATCTATCGTACAATAAAACTGTTTAAATAAGAAAGTCGGCCTCCTGCCAACTCACAGTAAGTGCTAGAAAAATTAAAGGCTTCCAATCGAGAATATCACTTATACCCATTTCATTTATAGAGCTCACAACCACTCATGATCCTGCTATTACTTTGCAGTCTTCATGAGCTTCATTGATACCCGTTTCAGATATTCTTCATGATAACTCTATATATAGTGCAAGCCCTTATTCCAATGCTGTAGAGTTGATTCTAATTTCTCTCAAGTCTCACATCTTTTTACGAATACCCAAAGATGATAAATTCCAATTATCGTGATATTAATCAAAGAATTTAACATCTTTGCTTAATAATTATGCACCTTACAAAACCCCTGACTTTTATAGTAAAAAAATATCACTTTTTCAACAATGTGTTGCATCCGAGAATGCCATTCCTTTAGATCGATGACCCAAAATTTTCAAAAATGGCGAAAATTGCAATAATAAGGAAACTCATAATGCTTATAAAACGAGAGCAAACTTATATCTACAAGATAACTTAAATATTTGATCTACAATACGCCTTACCATAGACAAGGATAATCTAGCTTCTTACGACAATAATACATTTTTGGCCCTAAAACACCAATCGAATAACATAGATATCGTAATCCAGTTTATTTTGTACCTAGTTGTATTACCACATTTACTACGACCGATGTTAGGAGAGCAATCCTATTTTACACGGTTCTCCACCTGGAATTGACATTTAGGATTTGACGATTCCTGCTATATTAAACAAACAGACATCTTTTCACAAATGACTCAGCTCATCATCCGTATGCATTTAATAGGCATTCCCTAAGATATTTCGAAGATTATAAATGTGGCAAGCCTATAGCCATTTACAAACCTATTAAAAACAGATCTATGGTCATTTGCATCCCCGGGCGTCGATAACCCGGATAATTAGTAATGCGTCGGATGCAATTTTCAATATCACACAATATATCCAGTCAATTAGCAATTCACGATAAAGGCAGATGGATGCAAATCAGGTCTTCACATGGTCCGAATGTTAGATACCAGTCCCTCTAATGATATCCTTGTCTAAATCGATTTCGCCAATTAATACATTAAAACTCGATTAATTCTAGAAATGTGTGCTCACTTTCATTATATTGAATTTTACCAGTTCCTTCAAGACTGCTATTCCAGACCAACACACCTGGTATTTAGAGATAAACTAATTCCGTCATCAGTGTATCCAACAAGGTGACCCATATGGATAAATCCTCTTTCATCTTGGAATAGATAAAATGATAGGAGGCATTAAAACTTTCAATGCCAGCTTAATTTACACCTTTTGTAAATTGATAATTCTAAATAATGAATACTTGGAACGAATCATCCCTCGAATATTTATTTACATAAATACAAATATTATATCGTATATTATCATTATTGTCTTTTCTCATACTACTATTATCGAAAATTTTGATTAATAAAGCCACAGGGATACCAAAGCCATAAAGGCCGAGATATCCGGTTATATCCACATTTCCCTATAAAGGGGAAATGTTCAAAGGATATAACTGAATCGATATAAAGAAATTGTTATAGTGTGTTATATAGGTTTTGTAGTAAAATTATACTACTTGATATGTTAATGGTCTTGTATATTAATAATATATATTTATGATCTTTCTCTTTGAATAATAATAAATTGATAATTTAATAAAAAAATAATTTACATGTTGCGGCAACTAATTATCAAATTATAAACATTCAAATTTTAATTTTATATAAGAAGCTAATTAAATTTCAAATTTATATTTTAAAATTTGCATCTTCAAATATAAAAACTACCCTACATACTCTTACATAATAATCCTTATAAGGATTTCCAGTTAAATATCAAAATATTATAAAATCTCATATAAATCACCAAGAATATTCTTGGAAAAATTATAATTTTGTCAAAATCTATTAGAAAAGGAAAATATAGGTATATGTAGGTTATATTTGAAAAATAATATATACAGAATTATATAGTTTTACTTTCTACATAAAAATAAAGCTTATAAATTATATTATTTTAGTTTCAAGTGTTAGGGTCATTTGGATATCCTTATTTGAAAATTCTTCTTGATCAATAATTGAATAAAATCTAGAAAATCATTACTGCTATTTGTAATGGCTTTAAATTTTCACCTGAAATTGATCTATTTTTTTTAATTTTTAAGATGCTAAATGAAGATAATAATGCATCAAAATGAATTGTTTAAATTGTGTTTTCCTTGAATCTCAAGGAAGGGATTCCAGAAGCTTAACCTAACGTCTAGAGTTTTCTTTAACCTTTTATTAGACAGTTTATTCCTAATATTAATATTGTTATATATGGTGGTCAGGGAATAGATGTGTTCGAAATATATTTTATCTTCAACTTTATTGTTGTTGTTAATGTATGATCACATTTTTTATTTTTCAATCATATTTGATATATAATCACATTCTTTATTATTTTTTCTTTAACTAAATATATATATAAAACTTTGTTTGATTCAAAGTGCAGGTCTTGCTAAATTCTGTCTTCAGATTACTCTCAACATTTCATTGAAAGTATCCGTCTCGTTGTCGTTCTCGCATATCATTACCATTATTTATTATGAAGATTCCCAGTAAGCGAATAAAATAAGAATGTTCCAATATAGAATATATCGTACAGAATTATTCATAACGTTGAAAGAATGATATATCACAATTGATTATTATGTTTTATATTATAGATTAAACTTATTCTATAAATTATATTTTTTATTTTTTTAATACTTAATAGTTTTTATTACATGTTATTAGAATGTACTACTTATTATGTGTTTTACTAAATATTTTAATTGTTTAATAATATTTTAGTTACTCCGTAAGATAATAAATCAAAAATAAATTGTTTAACAAAATATATAAGAAATATCATATTGCTTGCGAAGAAAAGAAGTTTTGCTTTAGACGCTGTATGTTATATCAAAATTATTTCCTCGAAAACAAATTTTATTTTATTAAAATAAAAATATGGGATAGTGTTTTTAAACGGCTCGTTTTGAGCGGATTTTTAAAACAACTAACTCAATATTTTATCCAGAAAAATATTACAAACAAGATGCCATAGATGGAACAAAGGTATAGGCATAAATTATTCGAGGTTTAATCAATATTTTTCTGGCTAAAATATTGATTTAGCCATTTACAACAACACTAGGATAGTAATAGATTTTAATTTAAAAAAAGAGAGATGCACTATATCTTCTCTATTATATATTTTTAAATGTAGCTATTTACCATCTTCGCACTATTTTTAACAACAACCTTATTTTATTAAAATCATATGTTTTTTCCCTAGCGATTGTAACTTCGGGTTGTTGCATGTGAACATCATGGCTTTTGCACTGAAAAATGTAGTTTTTAAACCGACTTTATATAATAAACACAAATTCTTATACCAACATATTAAAACAGTAAAAATAATATTTTAAAAATATACATTTAGTTTAATTTAGGATTCTACCACATTTGCAAAAGTCCCAAAATCTAAAAAACATGTAATTTTTAAGTGATTTTAAATTTATAATATGTATCATAAAGTTGTATTATATTGCTGGAATATGTGGGGCTGGTGTTATAGGTTTAATAACCTCCCTAGAATATTCAGTCAAAGCTATGACAAAACTACATTTACATCCAGCAAAGTATCCTTGGAGCCATAATGGGTTTTTTGATTCTTTGGACATGTCAAGGTATGTACTATTTTTATATTAATAATTAGAATTAAATATTTTCCAAAATGTGACTGCTCTAGAAATTGATTATAGTTAGTAAGCCCATCTTAAAAATTTGGCAATTTTATGGTGATGTTTTGAAAATAATTGCTGATAATTTTATATTTAAAAGATGTAATTAATTAAATTAATATTCATAAAATTATGAATTGCATATTTATCACAAATATTGTTGCATTAAATTCAAATATCTAAGATTTGGAAGTAATTAATTCTGAAAAACATAAATTTAAAAAAAACAATAGTTACTGAAGTTTCCTTAACTGAGATTTGTAGTAAATGAATTACAATAAATTCATTATTTTATTTTTCTTAATTTCTCTATTATTTTGTGTATTCAAATTGACTAAATAATGCAAAATAATAAACTAATAAATAGTAGTATTTTTTTATATTTAAATTTTGATCGGAATATATAATATTCAGACTAATTTAAACTAAAAATATAAAAATGGATGTGAAACTCCATTCTTCAAGAAACATGAAATTATTTTAAAATGATAATTTAATTTTATTTATTTAATATAGTTAAATTAAAAAGGTGAAAAATTACTTATATATACATGGGAAAAGAATTAACATACTTTAAAACATTGGAAGTGTGAATGAAACCAAAAGGTCTAATTATTATTATGTTTAATAGAATTACTTGAATTGGGATTTAATGAAAAATCTCTTGGAGTTCTTAACAAATCATTAAAGGATTTATTGGATTTTTTTTAATCATCTCAAGATGAATGTACCTTAAATTTGGTTCTACTATTTCAATAGTGAAATATCCAATCATTTGATTAACACTGACATATATCTTCTCATAAATCTTTAATATATAGTTTTACCAAATAAACCACACAAATAATTCTAGGCTTCAAAAGTTAAATATTTTAAATTGTCGATGTAATTTTACTACCTTTTAAAAAAGATTATTTCCCCAACCTTTAAAAGACTGTCCCCAAAATTACTCGATAATAAAAATAACACAAGTGGTTCTTACAAGATATTCTTTATTAGATATTCTTTATTGTTTTCTTTTCCAATTTCACACAAAAAAAAAACTAAAAAAAAATAATAATTATCTTATACAATTCTTTTTTTCGCGCATTATATACACATTTTTTTTTATAAATAAATAAATAATAATTTTTACAAAAAAAAACAATTTACGCTATTTCTTTTATTTATTTTTTATAATAACAACACAATAATAAATATTACTTTTTCCTTTTTTTAAAATATTTTCTTCTCCCCCATCATGACATGCCATCCCCAGGGAGCTACGCTCCCAGTAACTCATCCCATTCTCCGGCTGACAAGTCAATGACCAGCCAGCTATAGTTGCTATCATTATCAACATTGGTATGATTATTCATAACGTTCCAGGGCTCCACCAAGGCGATTGGTGTCGTCATCCCATTATTCTCCACTACTCCATTTTCAGGCGTTCTTCGTGTTACTCTTACCGGCAAAGAGGTATGGATTGACACCTCCCGACTTCTGCTCCTTTCACGCTCCGTCCGACCCGGGGACTCCGGCGCCGGGCGCCTATTTGTCGTTCGCTCGTCATTCCATCTCGGGCACTGATTTCGTACATGATCAGTGGCCCGACAGATATAGCAAACCCGCGGTCTCCTCCATGGTCTCAACCCTTGCCGTTGGGGCTCCGGAAGCTCAGGGTTCATGTCACGATAGTTGTTTGTGGCAACACGGACGGGGTCGTTCCTATAACTTCGGAGAATATCATTGTCCTGTGGTACTGGCGGTAGAACCTGGATAATGGGATGACGACACCAATCGCCTTGGTGGAGCCCTGGAACGTTATGAATAATCATACCAATGTTGATAATGATAGCAACGATAGCTGGCCGGTCATTGACTTGTCAGCCGGAGAATGGGATGAGTTACTGGGAGCGTAGCTCCCTGGGGATGGCATGTCATGATGGGGGAGAAGAAAATATTTAAAAAAAAGGAAAAAGTAATATTTATTATTGTGTTGTTATTATAAAAAATAAATAAAAGAAATAGCGTAAATTGTTTTTTTTTTGTAAAAATTATTATTTATTTATTTATAAAAAAAAATGTGTATATAATGCGCGAAAAAAAGAATTGTATAAGATAATTATTATTTTTTTTTAGTTTTTTTTTGTGTGAAATTGGAAAAGAAAACAATAAAGAATATCTTGTAAGAACCACTTGTGTTATTTTTATTATCGAGTAATTTTGGGGACAGTCTTTTAAAGGTTGGGGAAATAATCTTTTTTAAAATTTATCTTGCATTAGTCAACCTTCCATTAACGAATCGTACCAACGTAATTTCGATTTTACTTTTTAAATTTTCAATCCTATCAAACTCCATCAATTATTTTTATAATTTGTTCCTTTTGCTTTTACCCACATCCATTCCACTAATTTTTTTTTATAATAAATTTTTCTTTAAATATGTTCCATTACCAGGTATCACGCCAAAAAAAAATTTTTTTTTTTTAACTTAACTTTTTTTTTTATTTGGAACTCTCAATACGACCTACGAAGGCAATCACCCACCTTTCCCCACCACATCCCGGTTTGACCTTAATCTTTCGGACTCTACTCTTTTTCGTATTTGTTCCACATGTCTAACTCCTTCCCTTCCGTCGCCAAATTTGACTCGCACCAATTTATGTCCAATGTTTTCTACTACAACCCCGGGCTCCCATTTTCTGGTACCTCCAAAAATTCTAGCCCAAATGGCCTGACCAACCACAATTTCACATTGATTCTCCATTGAACTCACACTTTGAGTCGGTTTGGGTCTTGAGAAATCCAACTGAATACGAGTTCTATGGCCCAAGAACTTTTCCGCCTGGGACAATTCCTCTCCCTTTCGACTATTGTTACAATATGCTACCGCTATCCAAATCTCCCCACCCCCATATTTTGACTTTCTCAACCAACCCTTGACCACCGCCACCATCCTTTCCGCCTGTCCGTTGGACGATGGGCGGTAAGGAGGCGCCAAAATGTGTCTCGTCCCAGTTTCAGTACAAAATTCTTTAAACTGTTTACTTATGAAAGCGGGTCCTCCATCCGACACGACCACTTCTGCTACTCCAAACTTGGCCCAAAGATCTTTCAATGTCTTAACTACTACTTGGGTCGTTAACCCCCTTACCTCGTCATATTCCGCCCATTTCGAGTAAACGTCCACAACCAGTAGATATATCTTGCCCCCAAAGTCAAAAAAATCCAAATGCACCCTTTGCCAGGGCTGAGTAGTCCTTGGCCACACACTGTTTCTGTCTTTACGTGGCATATTGGACCATAAATTACACATTTCGCAACCTCTGCTCATGTCTTCGATTTCTTTATTCATACCAGGCCACCACACGTACTCACGGCCCCATTGTTTCATCCGTTCAATACCCTGATGTCCTGCATGGATCATGGCCAATACTGGGCCCCTTAATTTCATCGGTATCACTCCTCTGTTTCCTCGCACTAGACATTCATCCACAATAGCTAGCTCTTTCTCTATACACTTAAAAAGTTTATCTCCCTCTCTCCAAGGTCTCCGGCCCATAACGTTTCCTTTAATTCTTATCAATTCTCGATCCTTCAAATTGGCCTTCTTTAGCTCATCCCATGTCACTGGCCCTCCTTTAGATATTCCCACTATAACACGAATCAACCCTTCTTCCTCTCTCTCTCCTATTCCTCTCAGTTTCACTTCTTCCAAATCCTCTCCAGCCCCACATCTGGATAGAATATCAGGTAAATATTTTTCTTTTCCCCGCCTATATTTCACTTGGACATCAAAACTGCCTACCAGCAATAGCCATCGCTGCAACCTAGGCGACAACATGAGCTCCTTGTTGTCCTTCCTGAAAAGATGCACCAGGGGCTTGTGATCCGTATATATGACGAATCTACGTCCAATTAAGTATTCCCGACATTTAGTCAACCCAAATATAACCGCTAGCGCGTCTTGTTCAATCACTGAATATCTTGTCTCGGCCGCCCTAAAGATTCTTGAGAAAAACAAATTAGGTCTCTCCAACTCGTCTATACAATGTAATAGCGCTCCACCCACACCCCTAATCGAAGCGTCCACGGCCAATATCACTTCCTGGTCGTTGTTAAAACACACTAGAACGGGTTTTCTTCCAATCTTTAATTTCAACTCCTCAAAAGCCTCCTCCTGTTCAATCCTCCATTCAAATCTTTCTCCTTTCTTTAACAATTTATACAATGGCGCCGCTATTTGCGCAAAATTTTCCACAAAACGGTGATAATAATTCACCATTCCCAAGAAAGCTTGTATCTCAACCTTATTATTAGGCTTCACCATACTTGTTATATTTGCCATATTTTTGTCCAAAGGTCTGACCTCTTTCCCATTGATTTTATGACCCAAATATACGATCTCTGATACTCCCAGCACACTTTTCTCAACGCTTGCCCGCAATCCTTTATCCTTGATTCTTTTGAACACCTCCTCCAATCTACGTTCGTGTTGCTCGGGAGTCTCTCCCATCACCAATACGTCATCCATGTAATAAAATACTCCCTCGAGTCCTTGAAAGACTGCCGCCATCGTTCGCTGAAAAATCGGAGCCGACACGCTAAGTCCAAACGGTAATCTACAGAAAGCATATAATCCCTTCGGAGTCGTGATCGTTAATAGCTTTTGTACCTCTGGTTTCACCTTCAATTGTAAATAAGCGTTCGAAAAGTCGACCTTTGAAAAATATGTGCTACCCTTCAAATTAGCTAAGATTTCTTCAATCCGAGGCAACGGATATTTGACCTCCACCACCCACGGATTTAGCGTAACCCGAAAATCGGCGCATAAACGAAGCTTTCCATTGGCCTTCTTCACTGGTACTAGCGGTGTCGCCCATTCGCTATATTCCACGGGACAGACAATGCCCTTCTGTACCCATTGTTCTAACTCCTTGTCTACCTCATTTCGCCACTCGAACGGTATTCGTCGTAGTGCACAAAACTTGGGTACAAATCCCTCCTTTAAATTGATATCCACTTCATAATCTCTGAGACAACCCAACTTTTCTTCAAAGATCTCTTTATAATTATTGACTAATTTCCGCACTCCCTCTTCTACTTTGATCATACCTAATTCTATTTCTTTACTTTGAAACTCCCTTTCTCCTCATCGTCTTGCATCTTTTTCCCCTACCTCCATTTCTTGGCCATGGGTGCCCTCGGTATTTCCTTGTTTGAAATTTTCACTTTCTTTAGTTCCTTCTCTTGGCAATGTTATTTTCTCAGGTGACAATTCTTCCAACTTCCTTTCAAAATTTCCTGGACCCTGAATTTCTTTCTCCTCTCCAGTGTCATTTCTTCCTTCCTTTCCTCCAACATCACGACAAACTCTTAAATTTCCCCCGATATCTCCCTTATAATTCCCCCCGATTTCTCCCCTATAATTTCCCCCAATATCTCTTCTATCATCTCTAAAACCTCCATCTACTTCCCCTCTCCTTTCCCCCTCCAAAAAGGTTTCAATTCCTGGCAAATTTTCTCCATACCAATAACTAATATCTCTATTTTCCTCACCTCTTGTAATAGGTACAAATATACCATACCATGCGAATACCCCCCAAAGATTACAATCTGGACCCATCCGTGTGATCCAATCCCATCCCAACACTGACTCTATTTTTCGATCTACTATCCATTAGTCCAACATCTCTACTCTATTTTCTTTCTAATATAACCTTTAATTCCACCCTGCCCATTACTGCTACTTCTGATCCATCCAACTGACGGATCTTGATGTCCTCCCGTTTAATTATTCCTTCAGACCAAATACTTAGATACCTCTCATAGGCCATCACGGAGATGGCCGCTCCGGTATCAAATAACATGGCTACCATACTTCCATTTAAATTTATCCAAACTCTAGGACAAGGATCATGTACCCTTTCTTCTTGTATCATATTTATGCCTTTTGATTTTCCCCTTTCTTTATAATCCGACCCTTCCACTTTCTTAATTCCCTGCCTCCTGACCCTCTGAGCAAGCTCTTTGCTATCATATAGTCACAAATACTCACAATCTTTCGCAACATGTTTATTTTGTTCTTAATTTACAATCTCATAAGGTTTTACTATCTCCTTATCTCTCTCATTTTCAATAATCCCTACATTTGGAGCATTTTGTCCCCCGTCCCTCTGAGGAAAACCTCCTCTAGTATTAAAATTGCTCACATTGCAATCCTCTTTACTGTGCCCGTAACGCCCACAGCCTGCACATCGCAATTTATCTTGTTTCCTTGGACAATACGGAGATATATGTCCATATTTCCCACATTCAAAACATTTGCTTTCCTGACAATCTCTTACCATATGGTCTCTTTTTCCACAATTATAACAACTAAAATTCTCTTTTCCTCGGAAATTAAAACTTGGTCTCATTTCCACTCGCCTTCCTTGTGAATTCTCTCTTGATCCACTATATGGCCCTCCTAACAGATTGTTATACCCCGGTCTTTTATAATTACCCCCTCTTTCCGTGTTATTAATTTCCTCATTCCTACTAAACTCTCCTATACTGCTATCAGTCTATCCCTTGATCAATTCCTGAACTGGTAACCAGGTTACCTTTCCCATCACATCTTCTTCCCCATTATGCCCTTCAATGGTTAATGTTTGACCTCTAATTCTTACATTTCTACTACGCTTAATCCTTCTTCCAAAGAAAAAACTGCAAACCCATATGGCTAAAATGATTAGAGCCCCCAGAACGTTATATTGGATCTCCCAGTATTTTATGAATTTTAAACTTTTCATTATTATTTATAAGAAATTAACTATAACTTTTAAAATAAAAATCTTTATTATCTGTAACGTTAAGAGGTATGAAACAATTAAAACGGTAAAAATTCCAATAAAACACATATACACATATATATATTGAATAAATAAAGTTTAAGCGCTTAATCGTATATATACTTATTTTATTCTTATAAACCCACAAAGCTACAAAGTTTCTTATATTAATCACTAAGCCCCCCCCCCCCCCAAAAAAAAAAAATTAAACCACAGCACAAAGTATTTTTATATATCCCACCAAGTCACTAAGAAATTTTTTTTTTATATATCCCACAAAGTTTTTTATCTATAACCCAGGTTCGAATAGCTATAACGGCACCAGATTATTTCCCCAACCTTTAAAAGACTGTCCCCAAAATTACTCGATAATAAAAATAACACAAGTGGTTCTTACAAGATATTCTTTATTGTTTTCTTTTCCAATTTCACACAAAAAAAAAACAATTCTTTTTTTCTCACATTATATACACATTTTTTTTTTATAAATAAATAAATAATAATTTTTACAAAAAAAAAACAATTTACGCTATTTCTTTTATTTATTTTTTATAATAACAACACAACACAATAATAAATATTACTTTTTCCTTTTTTTTAAATATTTTCTTCTACCCCATCATGACACTACCAGTGGACAACATTAATATCCAACCAATCACGACGATCTTTTGCAGGATCTAGAATAAGAATGTTACTTATTAATTTCGATGTGTTCTTGATTTTTGCAAAAAGGAGATGTGCCCTGGATAGAAGTACTTCCAATGCGAATTTATTTCAGTTTACTATGCTCTTAGAATTTAAGCAAGATTTCCTAGCTAGAAGTACCCCCAATGTGAACATCTTTTTTATTCGGTTTACTATGCTCTTAGAATTTAAGCAAAGTGCTCCCAATATGATTATATTTTTTTTTTGGTTTACTATGCTCTTAAAATTTAAGAAAGATTATTATTATTTATTTATCTATAAATAAATTTTATTTGGCGACAAAAAGTTATACTCAAATAAATGATTAATTTTAGGGTTCATACCCAAAAAAATAAATAAATGGAATTAAAAAAATTTTATAGACAAGAAATTTTTCTTTCCTATTTTGCAAACAGCTGAGATGAATTTACAGCGCATTTGTGTTTTTTTTTTTTGTTTCTTATAAAAAAAAGAAAATATTCTTTTGTTTAAAATTTAATGTGGACTAATTACAATGGAAATTTTTTATTTTTATAGTTTATCATTATCGATATCAAATATTAGGTTATAAAAATACGAGGCCCGGCCAGGATATTTTTTAAAAAAAAAATAAATACACCCGACTCAGGTATATTTAAAACCCGGGCTGGGCTTAGGACCGGGCTAACAAGTCTCCGATATATATATCTTTTTCTATTGGGAATTGGTGATGAGCCGCTAATTAGCGCTAACCTTGGAATGCAGGGTTGAGCGATTATTTAGCCCCAAGATCATATTTACTGGTCTCCGCCCAAGACTCGGGGTATGAAGATATAGAAAACTATTCTTTTTATAATTAAAAATGTACAATTAACTTATTCTATACAGGTCTCATTATGATATACAATTTTGTCTTAATCCTTGAATTCCGAGTTAGCGGTAGCGCGCCATTTTTTTTTTGAAAATTAGCGATGACGTCACCCTTTTTTTTGAATAGCGGTAAGCACGTCACTTTTGAAAGTAGCGTATAAACACCGATTTTTTGGGCCCTCCCTTTTCATTTATTTAACGATATTTTGTTTTTTTTTTCCATCCCCCATTAGCGTGAGGCGTGGTTATCAAGTGTACAAACAAGTTTGCGCGGCTTGCCACAGCATGAAATTCCGATCCTACCGACAAATGGTTGACGCTTTCATGACTATCGACGAGGCTAAAGCCGAAGCGGCGGAAGTAAACAAAAAAAAATGGTCGACTTTTTTTTAAAAAAAAGAAATGGAAATAAATATAATTAAGAGAGAGAAGAAACGTAGAAGAGAAAAAAAAATATAAATTTATTCGTTATACTCTCGTACAGATTCAGGTGACGGATGGGCCGGACGATAAGGGCGAAATGTTTAAACGACCCGGTAAGCTGACCGACACCTTCCCGGATCCTTACCCCAACGAACAAGCTGCGCGGGCCGCTAACAACGGAGCGGCGCCTCCCGATCTCTCCCTTATAGTCAGAGCGCGAGAGGGAAACGAGGTTTAACGCCATCGAACTCTTCATTTTATTATTGTTATTAAATCAGGTCCCTGGTTTAATGGCCATGTTTGGCTTCACATATTAATTAATAAAATAATATTTTTTTTGTTATAGCTGGACTAATTGATTTATTTCATTTCTTGTTTGGGTTTCTTGCGAAAAAAAAAAATCTATTCAGTTTTCTTGGAGTCTTAACCGGTTTCATTATCAGATTCTGAATTATTTAGATTGCTTTTATAAAAGAATTCCCAGTGATTATTAGGGTCCTCATTTTATCTGATACCGAAAATGAATTGACACGATAAGTTGAAATATTGTGATTGAAATAAATAATTTAGACGCCGCAAATAAGAATGATTTTATTTATTATCTTGTAAAATATCCAAAGGATTACATATACGCAATTCTAACGGGCTACGAAGAGATTCCGCCCGCCGGGGTGCCCATCACTGAAACGCAACACTATAACCCTTACTTTCCCGGTGGCGCTATCAGTATGGCCCAAGCCTTGTACGACGATATCTTCGAATACGAAGACGGTAATTACAGATAAACGGATGGCATATTTTAAAAAGAAAATTGATAAGGATATAAGTTGGGATCATGTGACCCCCCCCTTCTCCTACTCCATTTACGATGCGCTTAATCAGGGTGAATTAATATTAGATTGGAATTTAAAGAGGTTTTTTTAATTTTAGCAATCCAAACCTTATAAGAAAGCAAAGGCATGGGAAGAAATGAATTTTGAAAACAGATATGCGTTAAAATTTTTTTTATTTATACCGAATTCTCCCTGTCACGTCGATAAGGTACACCCGCCACTGTCAGTCAATTGGCCAAAGACGTCGTCACCTTTTTGAGGTGGTCATCCGAGCCCCACTTCGAAGAACGGAAGCGAAGACTCGTTAAGGTACAATATTCAAATTTCTTTATCGATTTCGATTTAATTTTGCGCGCCATTTTAGGTATGCCTTTTCTTCCCTGTCGTCATACTCGTCACGTACGTGATGTACAAGCAGAAAGCCGTGCTCTACAAGACCCAGAAATATATCTTCAAGCCTATTCCTAAGGACAAATTCGTTTAAAATGCCATGACATTCAAAAAAAATTAGCAAATAAATCTTTATAGATCCTCTCACCCCCCTATAATTGCCCACGTATTTAAATAAATTGAAGAAATAAATAGTGAATAGATTTAAAAAATATGAATTCATTTTTTTTTTATTTATTTAAAAAAGTATTTTTTTTTTGTAAACATTTTTTTCTTTATTCTTTTTCGTTATTATTCTTTCCTTTCACCCTTTTCTCCTTCAACAAACTAAACGGCTCATCATTTTAAAATAGTTAGATTTAGCAGGCCAAAATAATGGCATTTATTATTAAAATGGCGCCAAAATGCATTTATGACTCCCCCCCCCCCACTACCTACACATTATTTTTGAATACCATAGGTATTTCGGCGCTAATTTATTGTTACAAGAAATATAATTTATTATTGGTATCCCATAAGTAAAATTTGTTTAAATTTTTGTCTGCTGGTATTTTCTTTATTGAAGTTTCTAAAAATAAGAAAGCATCTCAGAATTCTAAATAGACAAATTTTGTGCCAATGGATAATCTAGATTCCATCTTTCGGAAAAATTTTTATGTTAGAAAGACTTTTTTGGTGCTTAAAGCAATTTGTTAGTAATCGCTTTTATTTTGCAATTTTTATTTTCTTCTTCTTTACAAAATCTACTCCTATCTTATTGAATTAATAATTGTTTTGCCGTGCCATATTTATATTATTGTTCGCTTTTCTTGTTGTTTTTTTATTTTAGAGGGATTTTTTTCCATGATTATCTTGTATTATAACGTAATATAATTTACATTTATATACGATCTTCAATAGCCAAAATTTATAACTTACTGACAATCCATAAAATACACCTAAATAATTTTCCAATCTTCTAACCATTAGAGGCCAAATTATTGATTTGCTAAATTATTACAATACCAAATCCCATCACATATAAAAAGAAAAATTGACTTTTAATTATACAAGTTTCTTACTGAACGAAACGGGGGAAATGATAATACTCCATGCATTTCAATCGTAATCCTTTTCATTATATTAAAGACTAAAATTTATATACCACTAAGCATTTTTAAATTTAAAATTGTCATAATATAACTCCTCTCGATGTTCATGTATTAATATTTCCGGAATGACATATTATTTTGGTTTTCGAAAATGATTATAATTAATTTTTTTTTCCTATCTCTCTTTTATATTATAATAACACGCACAAATTATAAGAATATTTTTTTTTATTTGCAATGATTGATCTAGTATATCCTTATATATAAATATATATTTGCCATAATATTCTTTTATAAAATTGATTTTTTTTTATAAAAATTGAAGGTTATACATTAATAAATATGAATGGATTTGGTTGGTCTTATTCTATTTAATCCGTGATATAAAGATCAGGATCGAGAAACTAGCGGGTAGGGGAGGCGAGTGAATTAGCGGATAATATTAGAATGAGAATGTATGTTATATTATAACGCTTGTAAATTTTAAAATGTGCCCTAGACTTGCTATGTGATAGTCTTATATCGTACCTATTTTTCGGGTTATGCCTTGTAATAGAATATTATTATTTGTAATTGCATTTAATTAAATAGTGGTTTATATAAATTTGAATAGTTAAGGAAAATAGTTTTTTTTATATATATATATAAAATTAAATTTTAAAATTTGAATATGAATACGACGAGATTATATGATGTAAATGTTAGTAGTATAAATATAGCGATAAAAAAATGTAATATCAAGAAATTTTTATAAATTTTAGTAGACTTTAATTTTTATTTTGCTTTTTAATTTTTGTTATTTTAATTTTTAATTTATTTAATTAGAATTAATATTGTTCAATAAAGTATTTAAATATGTTATTTGTATTCTCTAAATTCTCATTTCAACATGCTTGATCCGAGAAAAAATTTTGACCGACCATCCACAATGTTGCAAGGATTCGAATCCAATCCTAAATTTTATTTTAGAAACATGTCTGGTCCGGAGATTTAAAGAAAATTATTTGACTGAAAAAAGTAATAAACTAAAAATAATTAATCTCATTTTTGAGATTTTTCAAGTTACCTTTTAAAAATATGTAATATTCTATATTTATAAAACTTCTATACCTACATGATTGAAAGAAGAAATTCGTGATATTTCTCAAAACGATAAATAGATAAAGATAATTTCTTACTCTTAATTGGATTTCTTGAATGGGGGGAAGGGAGTGTAGATATAGATTTTTGAGGGGGTTTTTATCCATTGAATATCCTATCATGTAGACGCTGTGTAGTTCCAAGAGGTTAGAATATCAATTAGAAGGAATGAGATGGTGCATGACATATCCCCAGATAATGCCTTTTATCTCCATACCCAGATGTTAGAGACATGCCATTAGGACATCCTCGTTTAAAAGGCCTGATGGCTCCAAACTCTTGGGGAAATCAAATGTTTGCGATCAACCTATTAAGATTGTCATGCCACAGAAAGAGGCCGCTGATTTTAAGATAAAACAGTTTTATTACACGCAGCACAGTCAACAGAAAGAATAAGACAACCTTAACTATGATCGATAACAATACCGAACTCATGGTTAGTGAGTAACATTGCCCTTTTGCTACATTACATATATCCATTCATGCCATTATAATTTATCTTTGGGTTTCTAGGTAGTCGATGGATAGTAAGATCTGGAGACAGAGGGAGTTTTTCAAATGCAATGCACATTGAAACTAGGAAGCTTTTTTTGGCCAAATTTAGAAGTAGGGTGCTTAGATAAACGGAAATATAATTATTAAATAGAAATCCAAGATATAAGGAAACAAGCAATTGCTATAATGGAAGGGGGGAGGGTGTTGAAAATATAATCAAGTTGTTAACAAAAAAATTAAAAGATTTTAAATCCGATAATAGAATTTAAAAAACAAATCTCACTCTGGGGAATAATTTTTATATTCGATGAAGAAATAATATCTTGATTGCTGAGGTAAGATATATCGAATTTTTAATTTAAGGCCATGGTTAGAGCTGTGAAGCTTCATTCTAAGAACTGGAGTTGGCGTTCTATGAAAAATCTTTGATCCACAGGGGGTTATGGTTTGGAATTGGGAGTCAGAATATATAAGAAAAACTTCAGGTCCGTGAAGTTGGCAGAACGACTTGAGGTGCAATTGACAAAATTGATGTCATTATTTAGAGCTTTAATTGCACTTCTATCCGAACATCAGCAAAATGAACCGTTTGTGAGTTATGAGCAAAATAAGAAAATAGTGAAATTTTGATGCTGGCAGAACGACTTGAGGTGCAATTAACAAAAGTTACGCCATTATTTAGAGTCTTAATTGCACTTCTATCCAGACATCGGCAGAATAAACCGTTTGTGAGTTATGAGCAAAATAAGAAAGTGTTGGCACTTTGCCAAAAGATCCTTTTTTGAAACTTGGCAAGAATGTAGATTTGATTTACTCTTTTATATTCTCAAACACGGATATCCGTATCACTAATCGTAACCGAGCTATACCTATTTAAACGTGAAGTTGGCAGAACGACTTGAGGTGCAAATAACAAAAATTATGCCATTATTTAGAGCCTTAATTGCACCTAATTACACTTCTATCCGGACATCAGCAGAATAAACCGCTCGTGAGTTATGAGCAAAATAAGAAAGTGTTAGCACTTTGCCAAAACCGAAAATAAATTAGATTACCTTTTGAAACTTGGCAATTAATTAGTTTACAATTTGTGCTTTAATATTCCCAAAACAGGATATGCATATCATAACCGCAAGCGAATAATATTTATTTATCTGAGAAGAGTAAAGTAGGCGGAATTATTTATAAAAATTGAGGTGCAATTAGGGATACTTATGCCAATGTGTAGCCCCTTAATTGAACATCAAGAATCTTTAAACGGCATATCAGCAGAATTAACGGTAGTGAGTTATGAGCAAAATAATATTGTGTTGGCACTTTGCCAAAACCGAAAATAATTAAGAATAACTTTCAAAACTTGGCAATTATTTAGTACTCAATTTGTGCTTTAATATTCTCAAAACGGGATATCCGTATCATTAACCGTAACCGAGTTATATTCATTTATTTGAGAAGCGGAAATCTTTGTAAATGTGAGGTGCAATTAGCGATACATATGCCAATGTGTAGCGCTTTAATTGAACATTCGGAGTCTTTAAACGGCATATCAGCAGAATTAACGGCTAGTGAGTTATGAGCAAATTAATAAAGTCTTGACACTTTGCAAAAACTGAAAATAAATAAGAATAACTTACGAAACGAATCTTCTAATTTATAGTTATTACGTAAACTTATTACAACCCTTATTGCTTGTTCTTCAATTACTTACAGTGGCTTAGCTACGGGGGTGGTTTTCGGGTTTGGACCCCTCCCAGAGCAAATTTTTTTTTTGAGATTATACGTTCAAAAAAGTGATTTTATATGAATTATATTTTTTTGGTTTTGATGTTTGTGGAAGGATATTATATTACTATTGAAATTATTCTGGATAGTATTATTATTAAGTCATTGAGAATAATCTACTAAATTATAATAACATATTATTGATGCATTTTAAAAATATATTTATTATATATTATCGAAGATATGGTTATGATTTGTAAGATAAACCCAGCCGAAGGCCCGTTAAAAGGGGTCTGGGGGCGAAGCCCCCAGCTTTTATATGTATGGACCCCCTCTAAAGAAAATTCCTAGCTACGCCACTGATTACTTAGTTTACAATTTGTGCTTTAATATTCTCAAAACGGGATATCCGTATCACTAATAGAAACCGAGTTAAACCTCAAATTTTGAATTTAGAAATTAAGAATAGTTAAAATTTCTATCATTCATCTGTCCTCGGTTAGAAGTACTTTAATCAGTTTAGCAGCCAAAATTAAAATATTAATAGCTAAATAAAAAATGGCGTCACAACTAAGACAAAATCAAGATTAACGACATACATCTTTTGCCATTATTTTGTGATTACCTTAAATTTTTATAATTTGAAAATCTAGACAGCGACACACATCTTTTATTATTTATCTCTGATACCAGTAATATAAAATTTCAATGGGTGTTTGTACTAGTCGCTTTATTATTTAATTAGCCAAAAATTTCATAGGTAAGATATAATATATATATTTACATAATGCGAACAATGTAGATTATATTAATCACAATAATAAAGAATCATTTGTTATAATTGCGGTATATATATTTATTTAGTCAGACATGATGTCGTTTTAATTATAATTTATGTAAATTTAAGCGTTTAAGTTACGCTATTACTAAATATCACAGGCTATCTAAGATTATATAATTTTATTTATATGAATTTGTATTATGAGATATATAGCGTTTGAATTTCACTAAAGTGTTTTAGGTTTAAGCACATGATTGAATCCCTCGGGCTAGTTATTAGTGTTAGGCCCATCTACATGATACCTAAATTAAATATTGAAAAATATTAATGAATATAATTATAGTTTTTATACCTTTTCCATATAGTATGAGGAAATAATGCAGTTTCACTTAGCCACGTGGGGAATAGATTGTGAGTTTCAATAGAAGCATCTTAAATACTTTAGATTAAAATATACATTAAAAAAATTAACCTAAATTCTAAGAGCAGATATAGCAGTCGCGTCCTATTGCCGGAAGCACCAAAATTTTTGATAGTGAGAAAAAGTTGAATATATATCTCCCTTGATTTATCTCGATGAAGAAGCATATATAACTGGGATCATTACATTTTCATACATTATTTACAATGTAATAGAGCTGAACATATAATCTAGGAACTATACAGAAATTTCCGTCCATACATATTGTTGAAGCGGATGACATCAATTTTAGCGCTACCAAAAATCAATATACTATTATTCTCAGTTGGGAATATTTGAGATCTTGAGGTTGTTGTATAGATGGGGATCAAATTATATCATGAATTGAATTGGGCATGGAAGGCCTATATTTTTTTCAGGAGCCTATCAATATGATGACCCCCTAATTGATATAAATAGGGGAATTGCTTCGGGATAATTTTCAATGTAGAGTTTCTAAACATCTTATTTAAATACTTTTGGGATATATATTCATTCGCGTTTCAACTGGTTTTGAGAAAGAGTTTCTAAACATCTTATTTAAATACTTTTGGGATATATATTCATTCGCGTTTCAACTGGTTTTGAGAAATGGTTTTTT